GTGGGGTCCCCTCGGAAGATGGCTGGGTTTGACCTCAACAAGCAGAGCACAGGCGAGGCCAGCGGCGTGGCGGTGAGACAGAGGGCAGACACCTGGGCCTCGTGTTCCCCTGCACCCTTCTGGACAGCCAGTCCCCGGGCTTCTGCGCCAAGCCCATTCCTTCCTGAGTCCACCAGTCCGTACACAGCCGCCTGGTGAGCCCTGACAGGCCACACGATTCTGACTGTGCCCTGCCGCCCTGCAAGACAGGAGCCCTGGTGGCTCAGTGGATTAAACCCTCGGCTGCCACTGCGAGGTTGGCAGTGCAAACCCCCCAGATGATCCCAGAGAAAGATGAAGCTGTCTATTCCCGGAAAGTCTCGCAGGCTCAGAACCCACAGGGGCCGTCCCGCTCTGTCCTCTGAGGTGGCAGCAAGTTGGCATCCACTCAACAGCGGTGGGTTGGGTTGGGGGCTTAGTGTAAGAAAGGGTTGAAAGTCTTTCCAGGGATGAAAAGGTGGTAAGAAAAGTGATTGTGGTGAAGAATTCGCTTCCAGTAGAACTCAAACTCACCGCCATCCAGGAGACACCGACTGGTGGCCGCCTGACAGGCCGGGGTGGAGCTGGGTCTCTTTAAGGGAGCAGAGGGCCTCGCTGCTGCTCTACCTTGAAGCAGCTGGTTCCGTGGTACCCGAGAGAGAACAAGGTGTATGCAGAGACCAACCCACCACCACAGGAGCCCTGGTGGCAAGTCCAGCAGTTCAAAACCACTGACCGCTCTGGGAGGACAGAGGAGGCTCTGTACAGAGTTTGAGTCTCAGACGCCTCCCTTATCCGGCTGACATGTCACTGTCGCTGTCCCTTTTAAGACTTAATAATTATTCTCCTTGTTTTTAAAAAGAGTGACTGTCTCAGAAACCCATCCTCTACAGTCCCTATGAGTAGACCCGCCCCTGCCTCGCCCCTGTCGCTCAGTGGGTGTGGACGAGGTCGGTGGGGACCTCTCCATGCCTGGGTGTGTCCTGTACCCCTGTCTTCCCCGGGAGATAAGGGGGAGATGGGGCTGACCCTGGGGCTCTCGGACAAAGGTGAGGAGGAGCTTCCAGGGACAGGGACACTGGCACCAACCTTTACTCCCGGTGCTACTGCCCAGAGGTCATGCGCAGCACGGTCAGGGAAGGCTGGGAGCCCACAGAGACCTGGGTGCGCAGGGCCCCTGAGAAGCAGGAACCGTTGTGTAACTCAGACAGAGCTGGAGTGAGCCGCGTGGCATCGTGGCTACGAGTTGGGCAGCTAACGGCAAAGTCGGCAGTGTGAAACCACCTGCTTCACGGTGGGAGAAAGGCCAGGCTTCGACCCCTGGGAAGAGAGAGTCTTGGGAACTCACGGGGCAGTTCTGCCCTGTCCTGGAGGGTCACCAGAGTCAGCATCACTCGGTGGCAGCACATCTGGTTTTGAGTGTGGGTGGTTGCCAGGTTTAGAGTTCTGTGCCAGCCGGGGCTCCTGCAGGCTGGTGGCTTTGAAATGGCCAACCACTGGCTTCCTTAAAGCAAATGACTTTTAGGGCCGGGCTGCTGCCACGCAGCGCCTCTGCTCCGAGCTGGGTTGCAGCAGCGGGTAACACAGGGAGGGGCCCACAGGCTGGTCGTATTTGCTTTAGCACCCGAAGGACACGCTGGGCTCCGGGATGAGGTGACATTGGCCTGGCCCTTCCTGCCATGTGGCAGCGAGTCTTGGGGGAGGGGAGGAGTGGGAGCAGACCAGAAGAGGATCGGATTGGAATGTGGGGTCGCACATGACCTGGGAGAATGGCCTCTCCCTCTCTCTGAGTCCTTCCCCAGGGTGGGCACTGACGGACACCTTTAGGGCTGGTGGGGGCCACGTAGCCAGAACAGACAGTCCTGGGGTACCCCCAGGTGTCCCAGGAGCCCCCCATTGTGGTTTGGGTAACTGCTTACATCATCTGGACCTTGAAACTCTGCCAGTCGGCTAACGGAGGGAGATGTTTTAAAATGCAAATCGTATTCATTGTCCTGAGTAGGCGGTCCAGATTGCCAAAGGCATCCAGGGGCACATTCTGTCAGAAAGTCATCCCCAGCCAGCAGCCACTGTCCTCACACCCCTGACCACCAGTGCGGCTGGTGTGTTGAGCCTCCTTCCAAGGAATCTGCCACACACACACAAGCAATGCTTACACATCTGCATCTCTATAAATCATAGCTTAGTACCTTGATCCTCTCCTTAATTGATGGCCACTGTGACACGTGGTCCCAAGCCTGGTGGCTGAACGGCACACATTTATTCCCTGGCAGTTCTCAGGGTCCTGAGCCCTAAACAGGTACCCCCAGGCTCCATGCGAATGGCCAGCAGGGATACATGCCTCCTGGGCTCTGCGTCCTGGCCTTGTCCAGCCCTGGGAGCCTCCAGGGAGCCCTGGTGGCATAGTGGTTACGTACTGGGCTGCTGACCACAAGGTCAGCGATTTGAATCCACCAGCCACTACA